TGTTCTTACTACAGTTGCCAGTAACAAACCCCATGGGCCCATTTATGCTTCCAAATTATGAGCCCATTATGAGCTACTGTTTAAAAATTCAGGAGTCCCATAAACTTGCTCAAGTTCAATAACTTAACAGTGCTATACACAGAACTCAGAAAAACACTGTAGTTATGTTGACTGGATTATTATAAAAGATACAACCCAAGAAAAGTCAAATGAAAGAAATGTGTAAGACAAAGAAAAGAGGTGGGGAAAGATGAAGTACATAAGTAATCCTGGTAAATGGTTATAATTAATAAAATTCTCCATCTTTCGTGTGCTCCAGAAACAGTTTATGGAAAGAAACACACATCCCATTATGACTTAGATGATGCACTCTTTTCTCACCTATCACATAGCCAGACATAGATTCTGCCCATTTTCTTCTTCTCTTACAAAAATTAGCTGAATTTGTCTTCAGTGATCAAAATAAAATACTACTTAATCAAACTGAAGTTTATCTCCTTCCCACAGCTCCTGAGCTTTGAGCTACCCTCAGTTTGAGCCAACATACAACCCCATTATATGCTCCTCCTAAGAACATGCTAAACATTCTCCGACTTAGAATCTGATTTTTTCACCCTCCATTTGCCATTCCCCTCCCACTTTGTTTCTAATCTTGGTTGCTCCTTTCTATGAAGAAAAGCCACCCTTGTCTGCCTAACCTTTGAGATCTTTAAAGATCTTATCGTTGGTACTTTCTCTTGTTGCAATACTTCTTTGGAACTTAATTTTTTAATACAAATCTAACTTTGTTTTAGAAACTGCCTCAAAGCAAAAACAACTTTATCTTTAGTAAGATCCTTTCGGTCCTGTTCCATCTTAATCTTAACTGCACCTGTCTGTGGGTCCCCAGCTTTCCAGGGCTCTGTAGCTTCTCTCCAGATAAAAGGTTTCTTCCATGGCTGGAGTGAACAGGCTAGGAAATCTGCAGGGGAGGCTCCCTAGGAAGAACTAACTAGGCCTTTAATAACCTTCTTTTGCAGGCTCAATATGAGCCTTTAGCTTGGAGTCACTGGGCTCAAGTTTTAATTTTCAAGTAAGAGTTATTCACTCAGGTTTTGAAACCAAGTGTTTGAAAAATCCAGTAAAATTACTCAAACACAGTGCTCATAAAAAAGAAAAAAAATTTAAGGTGCTTACATTTTATACCTCAACAAGAAAAGCAAAAGAATCTATTTCTTTCAGACAATAAATGTACTACTTTATTATCTCCATTATGAATCATGTAGTAAACAATTAGTCATATGGGGACACTTCTAGGAGGTACCTACCAAGTTTTATCTTATGAAATTTAGCATTGGCCAGGTACGGTAGATCACACCTGTAATCCCAGCACTTTGGGAGGCCGAAGTGGGCAGATCACAAGGTCAGGAGTTCAATAACAAACAGCCTGGCCAACCTGCTGACGCCCCCGTCTCTACTAAAAATACAAAAATTAGCTGAGAGTGGTGGCGTGCACCTGTATTCCCAGGTATGCTGGAGGCTGAGGGAGAATTGCTTAAACCCGGGAGTTGGAGGTTGCTGTGAGCCAAGATCGCGCCATTGCACTCCAGCCTGGGCGACAGAGCAAGGCTCTGTCTCAGGGGGAAAAAAAAAATTAGCATTAAACTCATACATCAAGATTACAAGATATAGAACAGAGATATTGACTCTCAGAAACTTACCCTGCAATAAGAGGAACTGATGTTTTTATGAATCTATGTAACTCAGCAATTATCCACCACATTTCTTGTGAAATGTGAATGAATACACATTTTCTTGTGTATTCATTTTCTACAGCCAAAATGGAAGAGAGATTTTCCTTATTCTTTCCCTTGATAGCTCTCTAAAAGCTAACTCTTGAAATTCTGTTTGAAAACACCCAGGCATAAAAACACACCTGAGAAGGCTGGGCACGGTGACTCACCCCTATAATCCCAGCACTTTGGGAGGCCGAAGTGGGCGGATTACCTGAGGTCAGGAGTTCAAGATCAGCCTGGCCAACATGGCGAAACACCATCTCTACTAAAAATACAAAAATTACCGGTATGGCATACGTGCATGCAGCGCTTGTAACCCAGCCTACTCAAGGTGCGAGGGGCAGGATAACGGTTTTCTTGAACCGGACCCAGTCAGAGGCGCGTGAGCACAGAATCTTGCTACGCTGTCACTTCCAGCATCGGCAAGCAAAAAACGAACCTCCCGTTTCCAAAAAAATAAAACACACCTGAAAAATTTCTAAACCACCACCTGGGGGGAAAAAAAAATGGATTTTTAACCAATGGACAATATGATTATGATTATTTTTTTTGAATAAAACCCCCGCCTAAATTTAATGTTTTGGACATATTTCTTACCTTTCTCAAGCTCTACCTAAATAAACTATAATTATTACAGTTTAAAAAGAGGCAATATAAGCTGAATAGATTCTTATTCAAGGGACAAAACACAGGAGGGCAGTAGTGACTTAGAAACACGCTAACCTGTGTCTGACCATATGTCCAAGCTCAGACCATCCCGAATCTCCCCTGGAGATGATGTCTCGCGCACCTCAATCCCTGCTACGTAATGCCGCTAAGTGACGCCACTACTCCCAGGGACCACTCGGCATTACCCCCAATGAGTGCCCGCAAATGCAGTTTACTTGCAAGGCTATACATGCTTCACTGAGGTCATCGGTTTTTTTTCTGCTTGGGAATATGCGATTTTTTCACCACAAATCTAAGAAATCCGGGGTGGCGAAATTATTGTCTGTTTTCCGCCCAATACCAGACACCTGACGAGACCAGCAATGTGTCTCCAAGAAATGAAAGCTGGCTTGGATAAAAATAATCTTAATGTAATCTTAAAGGGTTAGCTTTTCAAAGGAAGAATACACCAGGAGATTCCTCTAAGCCCCAGGGCATTCACCGGCTTCCTTGAGAGGCTACACTCCATACCTCTGCTTGTTCTGTAAGAGAAAATGACCCAAGAGCTAATATTAACTCTAGCAGACAGACACGGTGGGTATTTTGGTTTATTCAGACAGTACAGGACCAGGAAAAAACTAAAGGGTGGCTGAGGACACATCACCCCATAAAGTTTCCAAAAACCATTGACCCCTAAAACATGATCTCTGTGCTCAGGAAGATAAAAGGAAAAGAGGCACAGATTTTTTACAATACAGTGTCAGGAGATTACTCTTTGCTTTCTTCTCATGGAAAATATTTAAAAACAGAAAAGATTAGATATTTTTTGAAACCTGCCTATTTTATGTTTTTGTACATATTTTCTTACCTTTCAAGCTCTACTAATAAACTATAATTTACAGTTTAAAAGAGTCAATATAAGTGAATAGATCTTTTCAAGGTGACAAAACAAAGGAGTGGCAGTGTTGATTAGAAAACCAATGTGTCTGACTCATATGTCAAGTCAGACCATCCAATTCCTGGAGAGATTCTCCCACTCCATCCTGCTCACTTAAGTGCCCAGTGACCACCCTCTCAGGAGACACTGCATTACGCCCCAATGAGTGCCCCAAATGCATTTTACTTGGCAAGTTCTTATACTATCTCACTGAGGTCAGGTTTTTTTCTGTCTTTGGGGATACGATTTTTTTTCACAAATCTTAGAGAATCCGGGTGGCAGAAATTATTTCTGTTTTCCCCTCAATACCAGATCACCCCTGATCGCTGACCAGCAATGTGTCCTCCAAAAGAAATGAAAGCTGCGCCTGGATAAACCTACATCCTTAATCGCTAAATCTTAAAGGGTTAGCCTTTCAAAGCGGAAAGAATACACCAGGAACGTTCCTCTAAGCCAGGGCATTCACCGCGCCTTCTTCCTTGAGAGGGCTTACGACTTACCATACTCCCCGGATCCTCGCTTGTCTGTAAGAGAAAATGATCCCAAGGAGCTAATATTAAACCTCTTAGCCAGAACAGACACCGGTGGGGCGCGCATATTTTCGGTTTCATCCAGACGAGTACACCGGACACCAGCCGAAAAAAACTAAACGGGTGGCCTGAGGACACATCACCCCCCCACACCAATCAAAAGTTCCAAAAACATTGAGCCCCTGCCGAAAACCACTGATCCTCTGTGACCT